GAGGTGATAACTAGTTTTACAGCACCCTGCACCCCTACCAGTGCAAACTACCCCTTCCCAAAGGCAAACAAGAGTGGAGAAAACACCCCAGCACACTAAGGGCGACCGATCATGGAGCAGCAAATGACCAAGCAGAAGTAGACCCCAAGGTGACTTGTGGAAGGTGGGCTCAAGCCCCAAGGGCAGTACAGTACTTATTAGTCACCCGGCACCTAGCCGGGTCACCTAGGGAAGGTGACCCTAGGCGCATGCAACTTGAGTACTTGTGAGATTACTCCTGGCTCTTATATCACCAGAGAACACTTGCCCCACACCACAAAAAACAGAGCTGAGGACAGAAGTCAGAAGCCAAAGCCACAACAACCAATGCCATTCACATCACCCAGAGATCTGAAGGTGTGGGTAGTCGGCATGAGGGGTTTGGGGCTCCCCCCTTCCCTCTCCCAGGGAGGGGGAAACTGTGAAGACGGCAGCGCAGTGCGTGGTGACGTCATGCTTGTTTGCTTGTTTTTTTATGGGAGTTCTGTCCACTCGTTTGACTTTCAGTAGTAGTTTCAACCAGAATAGGGGTTTGTTTTGGAATGCTCACCTTTCCGGCTGCCTGACCTGGTCGATGGCAGACATAGAATGCTCCAAATCACATGTATTTACCTAAGTGTAGTTACAAGATGAGAGCTACGCTCGTGGTGTCCCGTCTTCCCAGCACTCTTTGTCATATAACGCTTTGAAACTACTGACGGTTTTGGCCTCCACCACCTTCTCACCTAACTTGTTCCAACCGTCTACCACTCTGTTTGCGAAAGTGAATTTTCTTATATTTCTTCGGCATTTGTGTTTAGCTAGTTTATATCTATGACCTCTTGTTCTTAAAGTTCCAGGTCTCAGGAAATCTTCCCTATCGATTTTATCAATTCCTGTTACTATTTTGTATGTAGTGATCATATCACCTTCTTTTTCTTTCTTTCTTTTCTTTTTCTTCTAGTTTTGGCATATTTAAGGCCTCTAACCTCTCCTCGTAGCTCTTACCCTTCAGTTCTGGGAGCCACTTAGTAGCATGTCTTTGCACCTTTTCCAGTTTGTTGATGTGCTTCTTAAGATATGGGCACCACACAGCCACTGCATATTCTAGCTTTGGCCTAACAAAAGTTGTGAACAATTTCTTTAGTATATCGCCATCCATGTATTTAAAAGCAATTCTGAAGTTAGAAAGCGTGGCATAGGCTCCTCGCACAATATTCTTTATGTGGTCCTCAGGTGATAGTTTTCTATCTAGAACCACCCCTAGATCTCTTTCTTTATCAGAATTCTTTAAAGATTTCTCACATAATATATAGGTTGTGTGGGTTCTATGTTCTCCTATTCCACATTCCATAACATGGCATTTATTAACATTAAATTCCATTTGCCAAGTGGTGCTCCAGATACTTATTTTGTCCAGGTCACTTTGAAGGACATGACAATCATCTAAGTTTCTTATCCTTCCTATTATCTTAGCATCATCAGCAAACATGTTCTTATAATTCTGTATACCAAATGGTAGATCATTTATGTAGACAATAAACATCACTGGTGCAAGAACTGAACCCTGTGGTACTCCACTTGTGACATTTCTCCAGTCCAATACATTGCCTCTGATCACTGCCCTCATTTTTCTATCAGTCAGAAAATTGTTCATCCATGTTAGAAGCTTACCTGTCACCCCTCCAATATTTTCCAGTTTCCAGAACAACCTCTTATGTGGAACTCTGTCGAAAGCCTTTTTTAGGTCCAGATAGATGCAGTCAACCCAACCATCTCTTTCCTGTAATATCTCTGTTGCTCGATCATAGAAACTAAGTAAATTCGATACACAGGATCTTCCAGATCGAAAACCATATTGTCTGTCTGATATTATATCATTTCTCTCCAGGTGTTCTACCCATTTAGTTTTAATTATTTTTTCCAATATTTTGACTATTACACTTGTCAATGATACCGGTCTATAATTAAGGGGGTCTTCCCTGCTTCCACTTTGTAGTGGAACTATGTTAGCCTTTTTCCACACATCAGCTACAACTCCTGTAAACAGGGATGCCTGAAAAATCAGTTGAAGAGGAATGCTGAGCTCAGGTGCACATTCTCTCAGAACCCATGGTGAAACTCCATCTGGACCAACTGCTTTGTTCTTATTTAGCTCCTTGAGCATTTTTTCCACTTCGTCTTTAGACACCTCTATGTGCTCTATGTTGTTCTCTGGAATTCTTATTGTATCTGGTTCCCTGAAGATTTCATTTTGTACAAACACACTTTGGAACTTTTCGTTTAATGTTTCACACATTTCCTTTTAATTTTCCGTGAATCTATTTCCCATTTTCAACCTCTGAATATTATCCTTTACCTGCAATTTGTTGTTTATGAATTTATAGAATAGACCTGGTTCTGTTTTACATTTGTCTGCAATCCCTTTTTCAAAATTTCTTTCTGTCTCTCTAATCACTGCCATGTAGTTGTTTCTCGCATCTTTGTATCACTGGGATGTTTGGGGGTTTGGCCTCTTCCTGTATTGATTCCATTTTTTGTGTCTTTTGGTCTCTGGCCCTCTCGCATCTTCTGTTGAACCAATCCTGTTTCCTAGTTCTCCATCTCTGTTTTGGTATAAATTTTTTTGTGCCTTTATCATATATTTCACAAAACTTGACATACATCTCATTCACTTCCTTGCCTAGCAACAAGTCTGTCCAATTATACTCACTAAAAAAATTTCTTAGGTTGCCATAATGTCCTCTCCTAAAGTCAGGTTTTTCAATTTCATCAACAATCATATTTTCTTCCAGATTATAACGCATTGCATACTTTATTCCCAAAAAGACATGGTCACTTTTACCCAAGAGAGGAAGGTACTGAATGTCAAATATTTCTTCCTCCTTCCTGGTAAATATCAAATCTAGCATGGAGGGAACGTCCCCTTCCTTCATCCTCGTAGCTTGTTTAACATGTTGATACATGAATGTTTCCAGCATGAGGTCTACAAATTTACAGGTTCAAAAATCTTCTGTTTTAACTTCATATGCTTCCCAGTCTATGTGCAATTCAATAGGCCATTGCTCCTCGTGCCTCTTTGAGCAGGGCCAGGTTCTGGCTCGTGGTCCATGGTAGGCCTATGAACTCCATTTACAATGACTGATGCCAAAGTCTAATATATCCATATCAGCCTGGATAGCTCCGAGGAGCCCCTTCGGCTGGTAGGGGCTTCCCAGGCTAAGGGACAATCAGTTAGCATGCTGCATGTGCCAGCCCTGGCTGCTCACTCAGTACTGAGTCCTTCACACCCGGGAATGGTAACCCATGCTTTGTTTTTTAAATGGCGTATGTTTACTGGAGCCCTGAGGAAGCTGATGTGAACCCCATGTAGCCGCGGGACTTTGAAATCCTACGTGGTGCTTTGAAAGCGTATACATACATTGTGTGCTGTGCAGTAGTTCGACCAAAATTGCATACAGTATACAATTTGCTCTGTTCAAGGGATTAAGGAAGTCAATCAGGACTTCATAGGTCTTCGTGTGTGGTAACTCTGGCACACAAATGTTACTCAGGACACTATATACTGCGGTAAACAATGAAACTAAGAGCACCGATTTCTTGTCCACAGGCTCAGCCAAAGGTCCAACAAAATCTTGGTAGCATCAAATGGCTCCATTGCGATGAATGATGAGGCAGCCATGACCACATGTTTGAACACAACTCACTGTTGTCTCTGATGCTCCTCACCTCATCTTGTACCCCAGACACACAGTGCATCAGCTGTTAATCCTCGCCGCCACTGTTATAATTCAGCGGGAAGAGAGAGAAATGTGTGATCCACCTGGCATTTATTTACAACAACAGGCAATGATGTTACCAGGTTATCGGTTATATTACATACTATTTACTTATAAAACAAATGACCATATGCTTGAAACATTATGCAGGTAACCTTAGTAGTACTTAATCCTACAACATACCTAAATCCTAACAATGAGGTTCATTTTCTCCATATATTCATCCTTTTTGAGGATGAACCAGAAAGATTTATCACCTCTCCTGACAACTATTTCCTTATTCTCACAAAGTTCTTTCGCTAAGGGGGGGCATTACTGGTCATCCCCTCATAATCTTCAAAAGAGAACTTGAAAAACCTCTCCAAAGGATATCTGATCAACCAGGATGTGGTTCACAGGTCAGGCTTCAAGAAGCTGCATCCAACAGTCTGTTTGACCAGCATGGAGAACCCAGCTTGTTAATAACCAAGCAAACCTTGAGATGGTACCTGCTTGATATCTGCTTGATGAGGTTCTGGAAGTTCTTCTACTCCCCAAGCTCGGCCCAAGGCCAGGTTTGACTTGTGAGAGTTTGGTCCACCAGGCTGTTGCTTGGAGCGGCCCGCAGGCCCAGATATCCACCACAGCCCGGTTGGTCCAGCACTCCTTGAAGAAAACTATCTAGATTTCTCTTGAAGATGTCCACGGTTGTTCCGGCAATATTTCTTATGCTCGCTGGGAGGATGTTGAACAACCAAGGACCTCTGATGTTTATACAGTGTTCTCTGATTGTGCCTATGACACCCCTGCTCTTCACTGGTTCTATTCTGCATTTTCTTCCATATCATTCTCTCCAGTATGTTGTGTATGTTGTTATTTTACTGTGTAGATTTGGGACCTGGCCCTCCAGTATTTTCCACATATATTGTATATTATTTGATATCTTTCTCGTCTCGTTTCTAGTGAGTACATTTGGAGAACTTTGAGACAATCCCAATAATTTAGGTGCTTTATCGCATCAATGTATGCTATATATGTTCTCCGTATTCCCTCTATTTCAGCAATAGTTAAGAGGTATGTTACTAGACAAGGAAAATAACATGAAGTTATGAGGAAATATTAAAGGAATTAATCCTCACATCATTTAGTTGAAAAATTAACCTGCCAAAACTGTTCTTAACTGACACTGGCAGCTTCTCCATTACTATTAATTATGATACTTGCCTTTGGCACACTGATCGAGAGGCCATGCATCCTTTCCTCCACAAGCACTGACCTCTCACTTGAACATGGCACAGAACGATGAGATGACACTGTAAAGGAATATAATCATAAAATTAATTTCTACTGAATGCAATAGTATCCTGTCTTTCCTAGTAAGTACATACCCACTCTTGTAACATTCTTCTAAAATCCCAAATGTGCATATTCACATTAAGGCAATAAGTGTCGGAAAATCCGGTTCCACATCATGAACCACATCTGAATAAATATTCAATCAAAACATTTATAAACATTAAATGCATATACAGTAGACACCAATTAATGAAATGTATGCAGATACAATGATGGATGATTGCAATACCATACAGGGAATGATGTTCAGAACTGCATACAAATTTTGATGAACAGTAGAGTATGTAAATGCAAGTTCTTGTGATAAACAAGTTAAGTGACATACAGAACATGCCAGTCGAGACATGGGTTGTGTAGAGAATGTGTAGAAGGCAAATGGAAGTGAATGTGAGTAAAACATGTCAGTAGTGGTTTAAAGATAAAGAAATTTTATTAAATTATTGTGCAGGAAAGCATTGGAATCTGTTGAGTAAAATGTAAATAACTTAAACTTATGACCAAGAGAAAAGGTATTTGCACAAGTTAAGATTAGGACTAGTCATGGAAGCATAGTGGGTGATAGAATGAAAGCCCTGGTTAACAAAAGTGTAGTGAGTCATGGAAGGAATGAAGGCCCTGGTTAACAAGAGTGCAGTGAGTCATGGAAGGAATGAAGGCCCTGGTTAACAAGAGTGTAGTGAGTCATGGAAGGAATGAAGGCCCTGGTTAACAAGAGTGCAGTGAGTCATGGAAGGAATGAAGGCCCTGGTTAACAAAAGTGCAGTGAGTCATGGAAGGAATGAAGGCCCTGGTTAACAAGAGTGCACTGAGTCATGGAAGGAATGAAGGCCCTGGTTAACAAGAGTGCAGTGAGTCATGGAAGGAATGAAGGCCCTGGTTAACAAGAGTGCAGTGAGTCATGGAAGGAATGAAGGCCCTGGTTAACAAGAGTGCAGTGAGTCATGGAAGGAATGAAGGCCCTGGTTAACAAAAGTGCAGTGAGTCATGGAAGGAATGAAGGCCCTGGTTAACAAGAGTGCACTGAGTCATGGAAGGAATGAAGGCCCTGGTTAACAAGAGTGCACTGAGTCATGGAAGGAATGAAGGCCCTGGTTAACAAGAGTGCAGTGAGTCATGGAAGGAATGAAGGCCCTGGTTAACAAGAGTGCAGTGAGTCATGGAAGGAATGAAGGCCCTGGTTAACAAGAGTGCAGTGAGTCATGGAAGGAATGAAGGCCCTGGTTAACAAGAGTGCAGTGAGTCATGGAAGGAATGAAGGCCCTGGTTAACAAGAGTGCACTGAGTCATGGAAGGAATGATAGCCCTAGTTAACAAGAGTGCAGTGAGTCATGGAAGGAATGAAGGCCCTGGTTAACAGAAATACAGCAAAAGATACAACAAGTAGGCTCCATGAAAGATTTATTATTCCAGGTGTAATGTTGAAAGGAATTAATTTGGAAGAAGTTAATTTGGAAGGAAGGACTGACAATTAGTTTTTTGTATCAGTACATGTAGAAAATTTTACAAATTTTCTGGAAAGTGGCTGAAATACTGCACAGAATATTTAATATTTTGTAAGTTTGTTTCCTGCCTGACAGCTGAGTGAACAGCGCTTTGGATTCGTAGTCCTGAGGTTTCAGGTTCGATCCCTGGTGAAGGCGGAGACAAATTGGTAAAATGATTCTTTCACCCTGATGCCCCTGTTACCTAGCAGTAAATAGGTACCTGGGAGTGAGACAGCTGCTACGGGCTGCTTCCTGGGGGTGTGTAACAAAAAAAGGAGGCCTGGTCAAGGACCAGGCCGCGTGGACACTAATCCCCAAATTCATCTCAAGATAACCTCAAGATAAGATCTCAAAAAGATAACCTGTGGTGCTACAGTTTTTAGATATAAGAATAAATGGTCCCCTGAGAAGGAAAGACTCTTTGTATAGAATATGAATGGGATATTGTCATATGGGCAAGAGAATGGGTATAAGTAGACCAACAGTGCTCACCCAAGGCTTAGAAGGCTGACCTCAGCATGCCTTGATTAGGTCACATGAACCCATGTGCTCTAGCAGCCAAAAATCGCTCCCAATCCTATCTTGAGGTTATCTTGAGATGATTTCGGGGCTTTAGTGTCCCCGCGGCCCGGTCCTCGACCAGGCCTCCACCCCCAGGAAGCAGCCCGTGACCGCTGACTAACACCCAGGTACCTATTTTCTGCTAGGTAACAGGGAAGACAAGGCCAAAACAAACAGACTAACTCAGGGCGAGGACCACCAAAAGTGAGGACGCCCCTCTAAGGGAGAAAACACCAAACACTCCAGTAAAGAGAACCCTGGCAGTGCGAGGGAAGCACTAGGGAGCACACAAGGAAGAAAACTCTGAGAACATGCAGCTCCAAGCACCCAATAACCCTGGCCCACGCAGCACAAAAGTATGCTGGAAGAGTCATAAAGGCAAAAAACCAGCGTTGAATGTAATGAAACGCCATTTTCTGGGTGAGTCCCGGAGGCTCCCCGGAGCTATCCCAGGCTGATATGCTAATGTCAGACTTTGGCATCAGTCATGTGTATGGAGTTCTTAGGCCTACCGGGGACCACGGCCAGAACCGGGCCCCCTCAGAGAGGCAAGGGGAGCAATGGCCTATAGAAGCCCCCGTGTGGTTGGAAGCATTCTATGTCTGCCATAGACCGGAACAGGCACCCAGAAAGGTAAGTGCCTCAAAACAAACCCCTATTCTGGTTAAAATTGCTACCAAAAACCGAACTAGTGGATAGAACTCCCCAACCGAAAACAAGAAAACTAGTGTGACGTCACACACCGCCGCGCCGCTGTCTGCGCAGCTCCCCCCTCCCCGGGAGGGGGAAGGGGGAGCCCCAGACCCCCCGCGCCGGCTACCCACACCTCAGTTCTTGAGGCTGGATGTCAAAAACGCGAAAAAGCGCCGACCGGAGGGAGGGAGGGATGCCGGGGAGCCTCCGGGACTCACCCAGAAAATGGCGTTTCATTACATTCAACGCTGGTTTTCTGGGGGGAGCCCCGTCGGCTCCCCGGAGCTAACTACCCACAGACAGAAAAAAGAGGGACTTACCCGGGAGGCGGTCGTCGCTCACTCCTCAACTCAAAGCCGAGACAACTGGCTGCAACCGCCGACCCAAAGCAACACAGGCCCGACGAGGCCCAGGGACATTCACAAGGTAACGAGTAGCCAGGACCCTGTTCGACCGCCAAAATCCCCGCGCCCGAATATCAGACCAAGACATATTCCCAAAGACGGCAGCAAGAGCCGCGAACTTACGAACGTCATGGGCACGGGGATAGACCGCAGGCTGGCTGGACTTAATATTAATAACCCTGCGGACGACCTGAGAGACCCGAACCCGCGAACAGGGAAGAAGGGAAACCGGATCAACCTACAGCGCGTCCCCGGACACAGAAGCTGTGGCGTGCAAATAACGGCGAAGCGCCGCAACCGGACACAAAACATGATGCACCCCCGGCCTGACCAACCAAGCATCAACCACCCATGGACCCCTCCGGAACGCAGCAGTCTCATTCTTCGCCAGAAAAGAAGGAGATGGCTGCAAACGAACAAAACAATCACCACGACCAAAAGAGCAGAAACCCCTGCGACGGAGGAGAGCATGAAGCTCCCCTACCCGACCCCCAGAGGCCAAAGCCAACAAGAAAAGTGCCTTGGAAAAACAATCCTGGACCGAAGGGGCCACAACGAAACGAGGAGATGAAAGGAAAGCGAGCACTCTGTCCAAAGACCAGGACGGCTCAGGCGACGCATGAGCAGGCCGGAGGTGAAACAATGCACGAGACAGCTTGCGAAACGGCGCAGACGTAACATTGATACCGAAAGCAAGCTGAAGCGGCTCCGCCAGCGCCGCACGATACGAAGCGACAGTGTTAGGCATAAGATGACGGTCCTGAAACAACCATGAGAGGAAGGACAAGACCACCCGAACAGACAGGGAACTAACACGACGAAGACACAAAAAGAAACGGAAGGACCGCCAGGAAACTTCATACTGCCGCCGAGAAGAAGCCCTCAGGTGGGACACCAACAAGGAGGCCACCTGATCACCATAGAGATGATGATAGACTCGAGTCAAAAAAACCATACGCGAAGACTCGAGGAGAAGATCGAACCAGCCACGTGACATACCGGCCCGATCTGCTGAAAGAGGCGCAGCCGCGGGAAAACCCTCGGGTTCGGACACCGAGCAACCAGCACCTGAAACCAAGGCTGGGCCGGCCACCAAGGCTGGGCCGGCCACCAAGGGGCCAGAAGGACAACTCTCCCCTGGTAAGTCTCTAAGCGAGTCAGGACCTGGAGCAACAGCCGAACCGGGGGAAAGAGGTACAGGAACCCCCACCTTGACCAGTCTAGCCGAAAGGCATCGACCCCGACGGCCTCGCGATCGGGGAAGGGCACCGCATAAACGGGAAGACGCCGCGACCACGCCGACGCGAAGAGGTCCTCTTCGGGGCGCCCGAACGTCCGGCAAAGCCAACAGAAGGACTCGTCGTCGACCGTCCACTCCATGGAGAGGGGAACGAAGCGAGACAGGGCGTCGGCCAAGACGTTGGACACGCCCCGTACGTGAACTGCCAGGAGAGCCAAACCCCGAGAACTCAGCAGACGAGTCACCCAAAGCGACCAACCCCAAAGAGACAAGGACCGCATCGAACCCCCGCGGTTCAGGCAATGAACCACCGGAGAGCAGTCCGAATGGAGCCGAATCGTCGATCCGCGGGCCACCCGAATCATCCCCAGAGCAAACCACACTGCCGCGAACTCCCGCACCGTGCTGTGAGCTCGACGGAAGGACGGATCCCAACGCCCCTGGCCGGCCTGATGAGCACTGGTCACAAAACCCCAGCCGAGAGACGAAGCATTCGTGTACACATCGAGCGAGGGCTCGGGTAGGCGCCAAGGCACTGAACCCCGAAAAACCCGAAGAGGAAGCCGGTGACGCAG